GATGGACGGCCCAAGTGGAATCCTCGACTCCAACCAATTAACCTACTTGGAACAGTTTATAGAGTACGAAAAAGAATATTATGTAACTGAACCAGTGAGATGTATCAGGAACATTTTTTTCCTCCGATATTTTGCATTTGGAAGAACGTTCCAATGGAGTTTTTGAATAGTACCATAGGCCACAAAGTATCAACCATCAGAATTTGATGGTATCATTAACATCATTATAAAACGCAAATCAAGGCAAGGAAGTAATTGTCTGCCATTTAGCCATGAAAATGGGACCAAAGAAACTTAATGATGTTGTTCTATGATGAAAAAGGGTTATCCATCTCACACATAGTGGTAGTAATGCACCAATCAATCAAAAATTCAAAATCATTTTCTTCATTTTTTTAACTTTCCAGCAACAAGGTTTTGAACATAAACTTTTGATAAACGAATGGTCAACTTGTTTCATTGGTTACCATGATCCTGGCTAATCAGGACACAATTAGAGAGAAAATAACCTTTTGCCATCAAGTAAAAATAAATTTGGATCATGCAAAACTAAATGGAAGATCAGGAAATGCAATTCTATAAGAATGCAGGTAAATGGTGGTTCTAGTTTAATTTCTAATGGTTCCCTATAGAAGCAATCTAGGATGAGTTACTAAAAATGGTTTATCTATTCAAGGCTCTATTTATCTACATAATTCTTCATCTCATCCTGCAGACCTGCGCTGTTATCCATCCTGCCGCTGATTGCTTTGTTCATGACAATTAGTTCTTGTTCTTCTGGCCATTTAGCCTTCTTAAGGAGCCTGCTGAGTTTAGTCTCCTCAGCACAGGAATTATTGTGGAAACTGGATCGTTCAGATTCATTGCTGGCAATATCAACCCCAAGTAACCTTATAGAGGAATTATTAGTGCCATCAACCATTGTGGTCATCAAAGACTCCGAAAGGAGTCTTCTCAGAGGAGGTGTATGCTTAGACAACCAATAATCTAAGCACTTGTGGTCGGGATCTAGAGCCTCGATTACCTGTAAAAAAAACAAAGGGTTTCTTAGTAACAATAACCTGTGATAATGAAGTGGATACTCTGAGAGAAACAAAAGCTATACATCTCCTGAAAATCTACCTCAATTATTGGTGGGGATAAGAAACCAAACATTTCAAGCCCATTTACAGAATCGTTCGATAATAAAGCAGGAGATTTTCCAGCCGTACATTGCTTTTTAATTTCTTCATTCACCCTGTCTCTCACACTATCCCAACACTGCATTGGTGAAGTGTGAGTAAAATAAACCTCAGGAAACTCCTCCACAGCAACCTGTAATGATTTTGGGAACATAGCTGTCATATGACCCACAATAAAGCAAATGAGGTCAAGCCTGAAAATAGGAGGTATTTAGAATTACAAATACCCTAAACAATGGTTCGAGAAGTCCAGCATCAATAACTTCTGAAATGTAACAACATATTCTTGTCGGATCTAGTACGCTGTAAAATGTCACTCGACTCCTAAATCCTGCAAAGATGTCATTTTCTCTTAATTTTAACATTTTTACACACCATAAAAATATTCATTACACTATTTAGTGCATGTACCTTTTGGGAAGATAGCTTGATGGTTGCACCAATTTTTGCCAACTATTACTGTTCCGTGGTCGAGTTGCTCAACCTGATGTCGTAAGTTTGCTGGCCAGGAGACTTCATTGGATTGACTTGAAGAAGGTTTCCCCAGTTGACTAACCTGGGCACATGAAGCCTTGGCCACACAGTATTCAGTCTCAATGCCAAACAGTTCCTTAGTAGTTTTGGAAGGTAGGGTAGATCCTGTTGATATTCGAGAAGGGCATGATAATTCAGATGAATGACTCAAGGACTGTGTGCACTGGAAACTTGAAATAGTTGGATTACTTGTCTGCAGGGACCCCAACTCCATGGCCATCTTGTCCTTGTCAATCTTTCGTAAAGCACTAAATGTAGAGCTTGAGAAACCTGTTGTATTTGATGTGCTAGAACTACATACTAACTCTTCTTTTATGTTCAGATTAACACATCTATTCTGCACTTCCTTCTCTTTCGGATATCCTGCTGACTTGTCAAGGTCCTCGCAGCCATCAAAGCCGCAATCAATGTTGACATCAATAATTGATCCAGATAATTTTGCACTTTTACTGAAGCACATCTTCTGCTGCGTAGAAGCAGATTGGCAAACTAAGCCTACATCATACTCTTTCCACTGGTACACTGCAGCTGGGTCTCCCTCCAGAGCTGCAACAAGAGCATTCAGCTCCTCCATACTGTATCGGTGCAACACAAATTTTCTATCCATTTCGCATGAACATAGAAGATTTGCATGAGTTAAGCAAGCAAAACGGTTTGGCGAGCATTGGCAACTGACAGCAGATAAATGAAGATCATAAAAGCATGAAAAGCATTCGCGGTCCGTTGAATCATAATCCTGATCCATCTTCTTACATTGCAAAAGAGCATTCGCCTCACGTGCTGAACCTTCCAATTTAATTCTTGTCTGAAATAATGGAGCCAAAAGTAAAAATAAAACTTAATTTCGTTGAGTGAGAACTGACAAATAATTAATGCCAGAATTGAGAAATACCTTAAATGCACTTGTGAGCATTCCATTTTTTCCACAGGTATCAAGCCATATATATTCCTTCTGACCACTCTTGCAGTTCTGTAGGTTCGCCCAAACCTGTCTGAGAGCTGTTTGTACAGTTTTAAGCAATAACTTGTCATGTGATATTGATGTCTTGCGCCGCTGATCTCTGTATAGCTCAACAGCACATTGTCCATGGGGCAGCCAGTCCACGGGAGCAACATTTACTGCCTCTGCGCAGTTGAAGCCACAGTTGAACCCAGAATGGTAAGCTCGTGGTAATGTCAGAACAAACTCGCCTGGATTCTGAACAACACGGTAAACAGGAATTCCTTCTGATTTTAGAACAGAAGGGGATAACTGTGTAACCTGCACAAAGCAATTCAGAATCAAAAATTGATGAAGGTGCAAAAACATTTGCATAATGCAGGACGAGGATGTGTTGCGTGCATGGAGTTGGAGGTGGGAATTGGGGATCTGATCAGAGGGGTTAGCAAGGTTTGCCCTCAGGCACACCTAGGGGTTCTTCTCCTGGCATGGCCGCTGGAGGCTAACTCTAAGTTGGGGCAATTTTCATTATTTCTTGATTTATAACCCTAATACAAACTATCATCCCTTTATATAGATAAAAAAGAGCCAGGCACAGCGATGGCCGCGGACATACTTCTCATCACAGTCAAAGCACGTGCCTTTAGCGTGCCGCAGCAGCAGGCTGTTTGGGTCATTGACTTGGTTGCTTTGGAAGACAACGTTGTGCCTAGGGATGGTGCGTACTCATCATCTGAGAAACAACGCCGCTCATAAGAGTGATAAGCTCATGGCAGCCTCAAGGTTCAATGGGTACTGCAAGTCCACATCAGTACGGATGGGCTTGCGGAGCCCAGCAACGAACAAACAGCTCGACTTGCTGCTCTTCCAAGAGACTAACACCTGCAAAAAGAGTGAGAATTTCTTCTTGTAGTCACACACCGAGCCTGTTAGTTTCAAGTGTTCAATTTCCGCCAGCCGACTAGTCCTGATCGTCGGCCCAAAACTACGGTTGTATTTGACGAACTTTGGTCATGGTGGTTCGCCATGCATCATCTCCAATCGGCTGTCCCATAGTGCAGCATCATCAGCGAGGTGATAGGAGGCCTTACACACCTTTTCCTTGTCCTCCGTCTGGTGGCCCTTGAAGAATCGCTCAACACAGTTCAAGCAAGGCAACGGGCTGCCCTCCCCTCTGTAGTTAGGGAATTATAACTTGTGGAACTTCGGAGCAGCACGGCGTTCCTCCCGGTAAGCGAAAGGTGCTGCCAGTGCAGCAGCAGCTGTGCTGTCAATCTCATCATCATTTTTGTTGGGCGCCTTGCTGGATCCTCCCTTCTCCAGAAGGTTGATGGATACCCTAGCAGCCGCTAGTTGTTC